ATGTTGGCCCTGATACCTGGGTTCCTGCCACCCACATGGGAGACCTAGATGGAGTTCTTGCCTCCTGGTTAGCCCTGGCTGTTGAGTGTATCTGCAGAATGACCCAGTGGATGGGAGATCTCTCTGTCACACTGCCCTTCAAATAAATAGATAAATTTTAAAAAATAAAAATGTAAAGAATTGAGGGCCAGGATTGTGGCATAGTGGATAAAGCCACTGCCTAAAACGCTGACATCCCATATGGGCACCAGTTCAAGTCCCAGCTGCTCCACTTCCAATCCAGCTCCCCACTAATGGCCTGGGAAAAGCAGAGGAAGATGGCCCAAGTATTTGGGCCCCTGCCACTCATATGGGAGACTTGGATGAAAATCCTGGCTCCTGGCTTCAGCCTAGGATAGCCCTGGCCATCGCAGCCATCTAGGGAGTGACTCAGCAGATGGAAAATTTGTCTCTCCTTCTCTTTCTGAAACTCTGACTTTAAAAATAAATAAATAAATCTTTAAAAAAAAAAAAAGTAAAGGATTTAGAACAGTGCTCAGCACAAAAGTGCTCAATAAATATTAGATATTCTTGTTAGAGGAAACACTTCAGTGTGCATTCCTACGTTTTCACATGGGAGAAAAACTTTCCACTACACTGCCAGGACACAAGGTCATGCAAGGAACATTTCCAGTTGCTCTGAGTCCTCCACTCCTCCCCAGCAACAGCAGCTGACTGCTCTGAGGACTGAGCTTAGCAGACGGATCGGAACGTGACTGGCTTAGCTCCTTCTCTGTTCCCTCCCACCAGGAGAAGCCCATCTAAAGCACACGGACAACCTCTGCTGTTGGCTTGGAGGATCAGACTTTGTTTCTACAAGAGGAAACCCTCAGTGTCACTTGCTTTGTTATTTTTAGGGGGAGATTCAACTCAGGAAAAACAACACAAAAGTCCTGTTGGTCATGGTCCAGCTGCTTAATTCACAGAGCATCAGCCACATTAACCACTTCTATCAGTAATAAAGCCAACATTGTGATCTCCATTTATTTAGCACTCTGAACTTATTCCAAACTCAAGAGAAGACAGGAATACTACTTACTGGCCTACTCAAAATCTCAACAACTATTAGTATTCAGCTACCGGTTTCTTGGGGGATTAAATACAATACCAGGGGCCGGTGCTGTGCCATAGTGGGTAAAGCTGTCACCTGCAGTGTCAGCATCCCATATGGGTGCCAGTTCCAGTACCAGCTGCTCCACTTATGATCCAGCTCTCTGCTATAGCCATAGGAAAGTAGTAGAAGATGGCCCAAGTCTTTGAGTCCGTGCACCCATGTAGGAGACCCAGAAGAAGCTCCTGGCTCCCAGCTTCAGACTGGCCCAGTTCCAGCCGTTGCAGCCATTTGGGGAGTGAACCAAGGATGGAAGACCACTCTCTCTCACTTGCTCTGCCTCTCCTTCTCTCTCTGTGTAACTGTGACTTTCAAATAAATAAATAAATCTTCAAAAATAAATAAATACAATACAATACCAGAGGTAAACTTCTTAAAATAATGTTTGATGTGCAGTAATAGATACTGGTTATCAGTATTGCTATTACTACATGCCAAAGTGAGTTACCAGTTACAGAAAGAACTTAATGCCTGCACAGTGTCCAGACAGCTAACCATGTAAATGGGACACTAAAAACAGCACCAGTAGCAGTCCCACTATTGTTTCATTAATCACAAACATACATTCATTCATTCATTCACTTATTTTTTAAAAGATTTATTTATTTGAAAGTCCGAGTTATAAAGAGAAGGAGAGGCAGAGAGAGAGGTCTTCCAACTGCTGGTTCAGTCCTCAAATGTCTGCAACAGCCAGGGCTGGGCCAAGCAAAATCTGAGTGCCTGGAACTCCATCTGGGTCACCCACAAGAATGGCAGAGAACCAATTATTTAGTTCATCACCTGCTGCTTCCTAAGTCGCCGATAGCAGGAAGCGGGAATCAAGAGCCAGAAATGGGACTCAACTTGGGCACTTCAATATGGGATCTGAGCATCCCGAATGGCATCCTAACCACTACACTGAAAAACCCTTTTAATAAGCAAATACCATATCCCAACAACTATGGTAGATATACCAGAATTCAATATTACAAGTGGAAATCTGTCAAAAAGCTTACAGATTTGAAAGGAAGAAAAACAAACCTAGATACAAATTGGCATATCTTATGTTAAAGCTATGCATTAGGATACTGATATATTTTAAAAACTCAGAAAATGAATTTTAAAATTAAAGGGTGCCAGCATGTGGTACAATGGGTTAAGCCACCACCTGTGACATCAGCATCCCTTATGGGAGCGGTTTGGGTCCCAGCTGCTCTACTTCTGATCCAGCTTCCTGCTAATGCACCTGGGAAAGCAGCAGGTGATGGCTCATGTACTTGAGGCTCTGCCACCCGCGTGGGAAACCCAGATGGAATATGAGGCTCTTGGTTTCAGCCTGGCCCAGCCCTCGCATTACAGCCATTTAGGGAATGAATCAGCAGATGGAAGATATCTCTCTTGCTATTTCTTTCCCTCTCTCTCTAACTCTGCCTTTCAAATAAATAAATAAATCATTTAAAAACAAATTAAATTAAAAATAATTTTAAGACTGTCAGAATTTGACCTGAGTTTTGAAGAAATCACCTAGAAAAATCTCTATTTTAGTAAATCCAAAGGGCAATTTTCAGTTCTAATCATATTTGACCACTCCCTCCCCTTAAAAAACAAACAAGACAAACAAAAACAAATCTTAAAAAACAAAACAACCCTCTTTTCTTTGGCCTCAGAGTCTGTAAGAAACCTCAGTCTTTTTTCCCTTTTCCTCTGACCACTCCTTCCCAGGCACCTTTCCAGTGCCTCCTTCTCTATCTGGCCTTTAAGAGTGGGAGGTGCTCAAGGCTTGCTTACTTGGCCCCTTTTTCCTCACTGCCTGCTTCTCATCTCTTATCTACACTCAGGATTTCCAGGGCTATCTGCCAATGGCCCCATATTTGCATCTCTGTGAACTCCAGGCTCTTAACATGCACACATGGATGTCTGAAAGGCAGGCATCTCCAACTCAGAGTGACACACTCTCAACTTACATGTGCCTCCACCAACTGCTCTCTCTCCCGTGTCCTGTGGCCTCCTTGGTGTCTGTTACCTTTACGCATCCAATTACTTCATCTGAGCCAGAAACCCGAAAGCCATCCTTGACATTTCTTTTTTTCTTATACCTTAAATTCAAACATCACCAAATCCTAATGATTTTATCTCCTAAAAGCTTATTCATCTAGCTTTTCTTGACTCTATCATAATGCTGTTTCACAGTATCAACATGTGCTACCTACTACAGTGCAGACCCTCCCAACTGTCTCCCCACACCTTTTCCGCCTCGTCTATACCCAGGCCTTACTTCGGCCAGAGTGGAATTACTAAAACACAACTCTGGTTAGAACACTGTGTGCTAAAGGTCGTGCAGTGCAGCCTCCTGTGCTTAGCGTCACATCCTTTTCCATGTGATACGGTCCCTGCCTACTTCTCCAGCTTCTCCTGGTGTCCTCTTCTCCCCCATCACTCTGACCCCCTTTAGTCCCTAAAACTCTCCATGTCCCCATCCGCCTCAGCCTTCCAACTTGTTACTCTCCTCTGCCTGGAAGCCCCATCCAGTCCTCACCCCTTCACACAGCTCACTTCTCTTCAGCATCTAAAAGCTAGGTCTGAGCTCAGGACCTTTCTTGAGCCCCTAGAACAGATGGGATCCTCACTACACGCTTCCGTAGCACCCACACACACACCATTTGTGTTTATGCATATATCTGCTGGACTACTTGATCAGCGTTCAGCCCTTCCATGCGCTCCATGACAGCAGGGGTATCTTCACTCGCTCACCACTGCATCCCCAGCACCTGCAGTCCAGGGGCGGACACACTGCAGCTATACTCAATAAAATGCTGTTGAATGAACAGGCAACTCCAGGCAACTGCATCTCAGATAACCAAGAATTACAACACAACATGATTACAAAGTGCAAATAATGCGTAGCTTTAGAAATTTTTAGGTAAAGTGTCTTAACAGAGTAGAAAGAACATAGACTTTAGAGGTAGGCGAACTGAAAACTCAGCTCAGCTACTCTCTAGATCCTATATGCTCATCCTTCACAGCCTGTTTCCTTCTATAAAATAGACACACTGGCTAGCATATCATGTAAGAAAGTACATGAATCACCTGGCATAGCACCACAGACAGCGGCAAATAGAGATTCCCAGCCCTCTCCTTTCTCTGGTCATCTTTACACAGACTATAAAGTAACTTGATTCATAGTTTTTTAAAATTTACTGAAAGGGGGCCAGCGCTGTGGCAGAACAGATAAAGCCACTGCCTGTAGTGCTGGCATCCCATATGGGCACTGGTTCGAGTCCCAGCTGCTCCACTTCTGATCCAGCTCTCAGATATGGCCTGGGAAAGCAGTAGAAGATGGCTCAAGTCCTCGGGCCCCTGCACCTGTATGGGAGAACCAGAAGAAGCTCGTGGCTCCTGGCTTCAGATTGGCGCAGTTCCAGCCATTGCAGCCAACTGGAGAGTGAACCAGCGGATGGAAGACCCCTTTCTCTCTGCCCCTCTTCTCTCTCTGTGTAACTCTTTCAGATAAATAAATAAATCTTTAAAAAAAAGTTACTGGAAGGTGTACAAGGCATCTGAAGTATTAAATAAAACTACATTGTATTTCATCAAAATTCACTATTCTTTCTTAACCCCAAAGAATTATGTCAAATAGAAACAGCTAGCTCAGGTTTTCCTTTAAGAAAATCAATATAATAGGATTTGGAAAAGATGAATCAGGGTGGTTCTGATGTCTTACAAAATACAAGCCACACAAAACAACATATTATAAATGATGCTTAAAACACGACTCTATTTACACAGAGCTTCTCAGGATTATATCTACTCTGAATTCCTGCAAGGTGCACTGTGCTAAACAAAACTCATAACATTAGGAAACTCCTCTTACCTTATGTTCAAATGGAGCACCATAGTAGCCATCATTCAGCCCAAAAATTATTTCATTTTGGTTGCGGGCATGAATCTAAGAGAGGAAGAAAATATACTATCAGTTCTAATCATTCTAATCACATTTTGATTTGATCAGAGAACAAGAGTTACTTCATTGCTGAAGAACAGGCTGGTTCCATCTTAAATTAGCAGAAAACAAATCTCTTATCAAAGACCAGGTGATAAACTGAGCACTTCCTGCATTAGTAAAAGGCCTCAAAACCCATCAGAAGACCTTCCAAGATGGCCAAACAGCGGTGACCCAATGTTCACCTCCTCCTACACACAGAAGAAGCAAAACAACAAATAAATGGCTACATCTTAAGGCAAGTTCCTGAAGAACACCAGAACTCGGGTAGGAGAATGACAGGGGGACTGGGATAGCAGCACAGAGAAAGGAACACAGCCACCCAGCTATCAGGACACAGCCCAGTGGCCCGGAGGAATCCACTACTGGGGTAGAGGAAGAAGGGTTAACAGGAGAGCCCCAGCAGAGCCCATCCGAATGATGGCCTTAGCAGGTGGTCCTGGCTGCAGGAGGAATCCACAGGCACCACAGACTAGAAGCCCAGTAGAAGAGCTGCCCAGACACCTCACAGTTGCCTTAATTCAGAGAAGGAATTCACATTCCATCTCCCACAGCGCTCAAAGCGCAGGCTGCTGCAGCGTGGAATCCTCTTAAGAAAGAAGTCACTGACAGCATCTAGATTTTTTTTTTTTTTTTTTGACAGGCAGAGTGGACAGTGAGAGAGAGAGAGACGGAGAGAAAGGTCTTCCTTTGCCATTGGTTCACCCTCCGATGGTCACCCCAGCCGGCGCGCTGCAGCCGGTGCACCGCGCTGATCCGAAGGCAGGAGTCAGTTGCTTCTACCATGCGGGTGCAGGGCCCAAGCACCTGGGCCATCCTCCACTGCACTCCCCGGCCACAGCAGAGAGCTGGCCTGGAAGAGGAGCAACCGGGACAGAATCCGGCGCCCCGACCGGGACTAGAACCCCGTGTGCCGGCACCACAGGCGGAGGATTAGCATATTGAGCCGCGGCGCCAGTCGACAGCATCTATATTTCCAAGGACAGAACACCCGACACATCCCCATCCCTGGGGCCCCACAGATATTCTACCAACTTAAAAAACAACAACAACAACAACAACAACACCTATAACTTCATGAATCTAGCCAGATCCAGCAGAATACAACAAACCTGGCACCCTAGCTTGGGCAGCACTCTGCCCTTCAAGAGACAAGGGATGCAGAACAGCAAGGGGATCCTGTTCCTAGCACCCTAGAAGTAGGGGTGCTTGCCCCTCAGACCTGGGCTCACCCTCCCTCCCAACTCCTTCCCCGTGCCTAACCACCTGGGACATCACTCAAATGCTGCTGGAACTCATGCACACCAGGACTCCAGGTCAGAGAGCCTACGACCCCAGCTTAGTCTGCTCACCACTGCTCAGAACTGTGCACACTTTCCACACTGTGCTAAGGATGTACATATGCCTAGCCAGCTCACAGCACCCGCCCTGCTTTTGCTGCTTCCAGCCCTTCCAAGGACATTGGCTAAGGGTTCACCCCACCTATCCCAGCACCAGCTAGTGCTGCTGCTTCAGGTCCCCATACAGGATCTGCATGAAGCATCCATCTCAGCAGGCCATGAGACTACACACCCTCAAACAGACATCGGCTGGGGAACGGGGTGCTGCACACCATGCCGATCCTGGAACCATCACTGGTCCCACGGCTTCTTCCTTTGGCATGGACAGCATTTGGTGTATGTGTACCAGAGACTCAAGCAACCCCACTGAGTCCCAGGAGTGTCCCACACCTCCACTGCTGCTACCACCCACTACAGTGACAGAATATAAAAATAAAGCTGAAAGATTCCACAGCAGACTAGATCAGGCAGAAGATTATCTGAACTTGGAGATAGATCTTTTGAAATACCAGTCAGAGAGCAAGAGAGAGCAGAATGAGGTCAGTCTCCAAGATCTTTGGGACATTATTAAATGAATGCATATTTGCATAATGGGAATTCCTCACAGAAAAGAGAAAATCCAAAGCACAGAAAACCTAGTCATTGAAATAATAACTGGGAACTTCCTAATCTGAAGAAATGTACAGACTTCCACGCACAGAAGGCCTACAGGACTCCAAATAGACATGACCAAAAAGATCTTCCCCAAGACATGTAAGGTCAAATTCTCAAAATAACAATATTACAGGCTGGCGCCACAGCTCACTAGGCTAATCCTCCACCTGTGGCACCAGCATCCTGGGTTCTAGTCCTGTTTGGGGCGCCAGTCCTGTTCTGGTTCTCTTCTTTCAGTCCAGCTCTCTGCTGTGGCCTGGGAAGGCAGTGGAGGATGGCCCAAGTGCTTGGGCCCTGCACCTGCATGGGAGACCAGGAGGAAGCACCTGGCTCCTGGCTTCGGATCAGCATGGTGCGCCGGCCGTAGCAGCCATCTGGGGGGTGAACCAACGGAAGGAAGACCTTTCTCTCTCTCTCTCTCTCTCTCTCTCTCTCTCTCTCTCTCTCACTGTCTAACTCTGCCTGTCCAAAAAATAAAAAATAAAATAAAAAATAAAAAAATTCTAATATCTGTAAGAGAAAGGTACTAGCTTACTTTTAAGGAACTCCCATCAGATTTAAAAGCAGATTATCATCAGAAACCTTACAGGCCAGGAAGCAATGGAACAATATAGTTCAAATTATGAAAGAAAAGAATGTCAAAAAAAAAAGAGAATGTCAGAATTTGTTTTCTGAAAGAAAAGAATGTTATAAATACTTTGTCCAGTGAAGAAGGAATTCATCAGCAACAGACCAGCTTTAAAAAGATGCTTAAAAGTACCCTACATTCAGAAACAAAGAAAGCAACAACCACATCATGAATAGATATGAAAGTATAAGATCCGTAAGAAAAATAAAAAAGGATCTTTAAAAAAATAAAATATGAAAGAAAAAAATGACGGGACTAGTCGGGCTGCAGGAGAAGATGGCAGTCTCCACAGGAGTTAAAGTTCCTCGTAATTTCGCTTGTTGGAAGAACCTGAAGAAGGACAAAAAGGAGTAGGCGATGGTACGGTTAGCTGGGGCCTTGAAGATGATGAAGATATGACACTTACAAGGTGGAGAGGCATGATTATTGGGCCACCAAGGACAAATTATGAGAACAGATTATACAGCCTGAAAGCAGAATGTGGGCCTAAATATTCAGAAGCTCCTCCATCAGTGAGATTTGTAACAAAAATTAATATGAATGGGATAAAGAATTTCAGTGGAATGGTGGATGCACAGAGCATACCAGTATTAGCAAAAGGCAAAATTCATATAGCATTAAAGTTGTACTTCAAGAGCTAAGATGTCTAATGATGTCCAAAGAAGCTATGAAGCTTCCACAGCCACCAGAAGGACATACAACAATTAATTTTAATGGATCTCAACCTTGTCTTAAATCAACAACCTTCTACTCATATTAATGTCTTGATTAAATATCACAGTGCAAAATACCCACACATTCAGCAAAGAATTCCAGCTGGTATATGTGACCCGGACATTTGCAATATATTTAATATATGTATACCCATTACGTTTTCAGGTAACGGGAGGAAAAATGCAGCACAATTTTTCTTTTTCCTGTTGAGGCACTGGCATTTAAACATAAACCTGGAGTGCTGTAGGTAGGATTGGGGTTTACAAGACACAAGCGTGGTAAGACGTGTGAGATGGCAGTGGAAACGTATGTTTCTGAAAAGTAAAAATCCCAAGAAGGACAAACAGAAATGGCATGCTTTATCCATCTTGCTTAGTGAAAGAGCTGCAGTGAAATTGATTAAAGTAGCAGGTACAATGAATATTGTCACAAATTGTGTTACATTTTAAAATAGTGTGGGTGCTGACTACTAGTAGTATAAAAATATGTTCAGGATTGTTTTGATACCTGTATTTATAATAAAAAAAAGTTGGGGGAGTCGATGAATTTCAGTTAAAAGCTGTTCCAGTGTGTTACATGTAACAGGCACGGTAAATATTTGTTTACATTCTTTGTTTAAGAAACACTGCATTTAAGTTCAAGTGAAGTCAACAAAAAAAGGAAATAGGTGTATGGATATGTGATTTTGAGATTAAAGTGAGTCATAAAATGTAAATAAAATGTGGAAAGCGTCCTCAGGGGAAAAAAAAGAAAAAAATGAAGGACTAAGCCATTACTTACCATTAGTAACCTTAAATGTAAATGGACTAAATTGCCCAATGGAAAGACAGAGACTGAGGGTGGCATTTGGCACAGTGATTAAGTCACTGCTTGGGATTCCCACACATTACAGGAGTGCCTGGTTTGAGACCTGGCTCCTCTGCTTCCAATCTAGCTTCTTGCTAGTGCACATCATGGGATGAAACAGATTGGGCTCCAGCACTGGGGTTCTTGCCACCCATGTGGGAAATTGGTTTTGAGTTCTGGGCTCCTGGCTTCTGCTGGCCCAGCTCTGGCTATTATGAGTATTTGGAAAGTGAACCAGTATATGGAAGATATCTCTGCGTGTGTGTCTCTCTGCCTTTCAAATAAAAATAAATAAAAAAATTTTTAAAGAAACTTTAAAAAAAATACAAAAAGGAGCCAGCACTGTGGCATATTGGGTAGAGCCACCATCTGCTGCACTGGCATCCCATATGGGTGCCAGTTTGAGTCCCGGCTGCTCCTCTTCCAATCCAGCTCTCTGCTATGGCCTGGGAAAGCAGTGGAAGATGGCCCAAGTCCTTGGGCCCCTGCACCTGTGTGGGAGACCCGGAGGAAGTTCCTGGCTCCTGGCTTCGGGTGGGCGCAGCTCTGGTCATTGTGGCCATTTCGGGAGTGAGCCGGCAGATGAAAGACCTCTCTCCCTCTGCCTCTTCTCTCTCTGTGTAACTCCAACTTTCAAATAAATAAATCTTTAAAAAAAATACAAAAAGAGTGGTGAAGTGAAGAGTTGTTTCTTTTGAAAACATAAACAAAATTGATAACCAAGAAAAAAAAAAGCAAAGACTCAATAAAATCAGAAATGGAAA